GGAATTTGTTTGGAAAACAATAACAAGAATGTGTGGCTTCTTGCTTAATCTTTATAGTTTAATTAAGTTTCATTGATAATGTAAAGATTTTTATACTATTAATATTATATTACTTGTACAATCAGATATCTCTATAACAGTTATTTTCTATAATAACACTTCACTATAACGGTCAAGTTTTCTTTGAACAATTCTTCATGTGATATTATAATATATGTTCTTTAAAAATAATACTTTACTACATCAATCAAAAATATTGAAACAAAAGAGATTGTTATATAAAGGTTTGACTATACTACTAGAAAATTACCTTTTATTGTCAAAACTATTGTAATATCGTCAGAATTACAATACCGTGCAGACGGATTTTGGTCGTTGGAAATGTCAACCATCTTACTAGGTTATCGGTTATATTTATCATAAAAATTATGCATGTAATTATCTTAGAATTAATCAGATTATATAAAAATCTTTTACATTGATAGTTTATATAATTAAAGTCAATTTTTATTAGTAAGATGAAAGTTTGTGCTTATTAATTATGGATAAGCAACCAATGGTTTATGTGTTTAGCGAAGCTTACGTGTAAGCACGAAAACAAGATAATGCAACACTCAAAAAGGAAAAAAGAAGCACCAAAATTAAAGAGTGATCCTTATTAGGCTGCTGATCACAACTTTAACAAAGCTCAAGAAAAAAAGCGAAATGATTAAGTGGGAAACTATTATGTTGGCACCTTCTTTTCGGTGCAAAAGTGAACAAGTTTGAATTTTGTACATACAATATATGGAACGTCCGCGCTTTGCAATTAGCATACACAATTATGTATGAGTCGAATCCAAAATTTGAAGGTTACGAGTCTACTTTTGCATTCAATTAAAGTTATTTTTGTATATAGGATGACACTACTAATATATCAGTATTTTTAACGACATGTATACATGGAATTTTTGTCGAATTTTTCGAGTGTCGGTGACCCCTTTCTTTATAATATAGGTCCGCCTCTGGATGTATA